ACACACACATTCAATACCACAGAAAAAAAACATGAGGAGAAAGGCACTGCATTAGTATCCATGCTGTATGTCACAGAATATAGTGTAAACATAATGTATATTGCATATACAGTCAGTCTTAAGGATTGTAAGTAAAAACAGCTCGACTCTGCTTGTACAGGGTGTATAAATATAAATGCCTGGATTGGGCAACCATGCACACAAGCACTGATGGAAAAAGTCACACAAAGAGACACACACATACTGTACGGCCACATGCTCGTTGACACGTACACACACACACACGTGCTCAAAGCCACACTAACTAAAATCTCAGTCCTGTTTACACAAAATCCCAATGTAATCAGTCACACAAACGCAAATATGCATGTGTGCAACAGTACACACACACATACATACACCCAGTGTCAATATTGATCAAACTGACAGAGCTGTGACCATCCTGTCTCCAGGGAGCTCACTCATCAGTGCACGCTCACACTCAAGGACAAAAAGAAGTGTGTCTGCAGGTTTGTACTCCGATCCACGCATTTGCACATGCACACACACACACACACATACACAACAGAATCATATTAACCTCAATAATCCTTACTTATTTAGGTTGTATGGAGCAGATATAAATTAAAATATAGCTTCAAGAAGCAATTAATGGAGGCCAAGCACACACGCAGAAATGCTGATAATGTTGCTGAATGATAAGAGGGCACAAAGCAATTTTTAAGGAGTAGCTGTATTTAATTCAAAGATAATGGGATCTAAATGCTCGGAAAACAATAACATTTAATATTACTCTTAAAGTCAGAGAGCCTTCTTTATGGCTATATAGTTGGCTCTAATGCTATAATAAGTAGTTCTGTGTTGTTGCCAGTGACACTGACACCTGTGGGAATTTGTTTAATATCAGTACATTTTGATTTGGTACAAAACCACAGGAACTCAAAATAGTATTTAAGTACAGTACTTGAGTAAATGTAATTAGTTACCACAGCCTCAAAATTGACCATAAAGTTGAATTAACACTTCTGACACAGAAAAAACTAAAACTTCTACCAGGCAACATTTGTTCAAGTGCATTTATTGAAAGTGTTTCTGTTTTTGTAAACTTTATTCAACTTGTGCGGCATGTATTACAATGAATGTTTTTTTGAGAACCTCTGGATTTACATTCTCTCTTTAACTTGCTTAGCATGCAACTGTATCTACTCTGGTTTATTTGTTATTCAGTACTCAAACAAAACATGATATAGGAATGGGGTGTGAATAATTGTCTCCTAATTGTGTGTGTACACGTTGTGTTTATGTGCAAGCGTGTCTTGGTGGTGGTGACACTTACCTCTTGAGAGAGGAAAGGGATGATCTGAGCGCAGATGGCACTGAGACGCTTCACAATCTCTGCCTGTGATGGAGGGAGAAAGACAGAGACATAAGGAGAGAAAAATGGATATATGATTGTGCCGCATAGCTTTGGATAATAAGTACACAATGAACAGAGATATGATACACCTTTACAGTACATTAAGTCTCTGCTGCATTAAAACACTTTTCTAATGAGTGAGGAGTTCTGCCAGTGACAACTTCGCAAGGATGAGAGAAAAAAACCTGGGGAATGTGGGAGTGAAAAGCAGAGATGGAAGGACGGAGGCAGCACTCCCGTCATCATCTGGTCTTTTAGCACCATCACACTCTCATTTAGCTCGTCCTCACACACTCACTTCAGTCATCCTCTCTTTCTCTTACTCTCACACACACAAACATATGAGTGAACAAACACACATTAGCAAAAAGCAGAACACCTTAAAGAATTTCTCTCAAGCTCTCCACCTGTCACAGCCGGCTATTTGCTGCCATTACGTTCATCCATTTCCTAAAACTCATAAAAACCATAAAAATGCTCTTTCTTACACACACACATTATGTACACAGAAACACACACACACTGCAAACCTAGTAACCATCCGCAGAGTACAGCTGCCTGCACACACAAACACATAAAAAACATAAGCACACACTCTCTCTGTGTCACACACGCACACACAAACACGTTCGTGTATACACACACTGAACCTCTGCGGTGTGTCTAATTCTATCTGTCTGAGTGCCCTCAGCCTCATTTTGTTCTCTTCTTCACTCAGCCGTTCTCTCTTTTTCTACAACAGCTCTCACACTGAGCCATTATTACCCTATTCATCCTCTTCCTCCCATCCCTCTCCCCCCTCCCTCTTTCATCTCTCTCCCTAGCTCGCTTTGTCTCGTTTTATCCCATCTTTCTATTTTTCTATATTATTTCCTTTCTCTCTATTCTAATTTATCCTCCCTCATTTCTCTCAGCTGCCCCTTTTCTTCCTCTTACATCAGTCGCTCTCTTATGTTTTTTCTTTCTTACTTTGCTGTCACGCATTACCACGGCCATGCTACATATATACAATTTTTATTTTTCCTCCCTCTACCTAGTTTGCTTTTCTCTCTTTCTCTTTGTATCCCTCTATCCTTACTAACACATGTTCCTGGCACTTTCAGATACTGGAGAAGAAGAGAGAAAGACAGCAAAAGGGTGATGGAGGGCAATGCAATGACGGACATGGCTGTATACACCATCATGCGAAGGCTCTCACACACACACACACACACACACAATCAGCCAACCTGTCAGTTACAGCCAGTCTCATCATGACTTCATAAACTGGCTATCACCAGACACACAGCTCTGTTCCAAGGACAGTGAGTCTTATCACATCATACATGTGTCAATGTATGCATGCGTGTGTGTGTGTGTGAGAGAGAGAGAGGTTGTGCCAAGGCTCCTCAGTATATCAGGGACGATATGCATGTACAGTATGTGTGCGCTAACCACAGAGAGGAAAGTGACAGCGAGAGAAGGGAAGAGAGATAACATAAGAGAATTTCTTTTTACAATAGGAAATTGCAACATTCTTTATTGCTGTATATTCTGCTAATTGTCTTTCCTTTAAAATCTTCTGTATGTTTCTCTGCTTGAATCAACTTAATCCCCTTCTTTGCTTTCTACTTCTTCTACTACTTTTTAGCTGGAAAAAAAGATATAGTCCTTACACTCATTCTTACCACTGATAATGAGCCCCCCTGTACCCGACTGAGAATTTTGTCAGTCGAAAGGCTGTTCAAGACAAATTTAACTACTCAATGCCAAACTAAACTCCTGCAGTGGAAAGGCGTCTATGTGAGTCTCTTGTTTAAGCCTGCCTCACGTTTTAATGCCTTTCTTTGTGATATCTGTGATATGAAAACATCAGATTTCTACAGTCAGAGAACGTAAAAGTGTGAATGCTGTCCTCCGTTAACTACCACTCTTTTCCACTTCCATTGTAAGTAGTTTTGTGGTTTGCGGTCATTTTGAAACTAGGTTTGTAAAGTTTACAGTCTGCCATGTTGTTGCTCTGTGTACAATGAAGCAGTTAAAAAAACAAAAGTGCAGAAATTTGACTGACGAAATGCAGGTGGACTTCTCGACTAATGATTCCAAATCATTGACTTTTCTACTAATTATTGCATTAGTTGACCATGTTGGCTTTGTTAACATGTAGCTTCAACAGGCTCCTTTCACAAATATATCTGTTTCCCTGTTTGAAATAAGTGTCAAGAAAGAAAAATGGAAAGATTCACTATGATTTATCACTAACTGATGGTGCAAATGATTATATTTCATAAAAAATAGTAAAACCTATATACACATATACAGGGTATACATTACACACTCTCTGTTCATTCACAATCTATTCCGCATCAACTGTCCTGCTCTCAGTTATATTGCTGCAACTACAACACATGCCTCCTCGTGAACAACAGGTTGTCCTCAGGCCACAAAAATAATTCAGATGACCTGGGTCAGTTGTGCCCAGACAAAAGCCTATCTGACCAGACTGATGCTGGACAGGAAGGAAGAATAAGACAACACTGACCTGAACATGGTCGGTCTATGCAGCTGCTTTCACTGACTGTTTCTAAGGTGGCCGTGAGTTTGATTAAAAGCTATACCAATAAACGTAACTGAATAGATTTTTTTTGTGCAGAAAACAAAAGAAACAAACATTACCAAAAAAGAGAGCTTTTCTGTCAGTGCTGTTCAGTAAGGAAGAGCTCTCTATTCTATGTTACAACAGAAGAAAAATCAGCTACTTTGCATAGCTGCCCAGTAGGTAGGGAGGTGCCATGGAAACCTGTGATGAGCACCATGCAGACTGTAAACTAAAAGCTTCCTAAAGCTGCAAAAAGGTGCAAAGTTAGGTGTTAATTCTCTGTGTATTTAGTACTATTAGCAACCCTTCCCCAGTTCTATTCATTGTTATTCATGTTATTAATAAAAACTAATTTTGAGAGACATAAAATGTACTACCTGCTCACAATGTTGTTGATCAACTTCTGCAGCACTACTATATCCCACCGACTCCATGTTCTGGCTAAGAGGCAGTGGATGGTGTTATGAACGCAAGACGCCAATCAGCCGATGGGTTGACAATAGAGTGAAAGTGAGCTGGGCTGAAGCAGTCCGAGCTGTGCCAGGTGTCAGAAACAACACGGCACAGTCTCGTTCCACAGCCCTGCCAAAGTACAGCCACCAGGGAGTACTGGCAAAGACTGGCCGGATGGAGGGATGAACGGATGGAGGGATGAATGGATGGGCAGATAAAAGGAAAGAGGGGGTTGGTCAATAAACACCTGAGGGCAGATAAGCTGCCAACTGGCATGGGGACACAGGGTGAGAGAGAAAGAAAGGATGACACAACCACGTTTCATTTAGAAGAGCAAAAATTTCCAACATTATTCTCCAAAAGAGACAAAAGATAGAGGAATGGAAACTGGAAGTAAGGTTAGAGGAGAGGAGAAAAGAAAGAATGAACTGCAGGACAAGGACAGCCTGTTCCAGGGGCTGTGGCGCACATTAGTCTGTCAGAGCCTGAGGGACACACAGACACACACAGACACACACCAGACAAACACCACAACCACACACCACACACACACACCCACACACAAACAGCTACACACCACACACACCTGCCACACACACACTGGCAGCA